GGTATGGCCACCGGACAGGTGACAAAGAATGCCCTTTCTTTATCAAAGGCAACCAAAAGTTAGAACAGTTCAGAGTGGTGAGTGGACCTGGGTGCGAGTTTGTGGTCCTCAGAGATGGTGAGGCACTGCACAGAGGCACTCCCCGAAGACTCTTGGCCAAAGTCTGTGACGTTAGCTGCACCTTTGTTAAATGGTATTTGTGGGGCCAGGGAGCTAGCTCAGTAGAATAGGCACTTGCCAGGGGGGCCTGAGTTCAATCCCCAGTTCCACTAAAAAAAGGTATTTGTGTGACTGTCAATGCATGAAGTGTATGCTTGCTAAGGGGATTAAACTCAGGCTGGACTCGAACTTGCAGTCCTCCTGCCTCAGCCTCCCAGACTGCTTAGACACCTTCCTATTTCAAGCCAGAAGTGAATTTCCTCTCTAGATGCCAGTGAAACTCTTCTGTCCTTTGCTCATTTTATCTTTCCCAAGCCACCTCCTGGAGCCTTGATTCACTCTGCAGTTACTGCTGCTGCCAGGTGGAGTCGCTGCTGAGTAATGTGCTCAAGTTACCAGCCTGTGTCCAATGAGCGGCCAGACCTTCTCCAAGCTTCTGGTGGTCTCAGTATTGGACTTTGAGCCCAGAGCCACCTAGAGCACTGGACCGGCACTCTACACTGAGAAGAATGTGTAATGTTATGAGAAAATGCTTGTGGAAACCTACGAGAAGCTGGTCATGGAAGTGTGCACCTATAATCTCAGTACTCAGGGAGCTGAGGATCACAAGCTCATCCTCAGCCTAGGCTCAGCAAGGCCCTGTCTCAAAATTAAAAGAATAAAAATACCCTGGGGATGTTGTTCAATGCAAAGGCCCTGATTCAACACCCCAGAACCACCCTAAGGAAATTCTTAGCTTCAAATACTTAGAACAAATGCATGAGGAATATGTGAAATGTGTGAATTACCTCAATTAGAAAAGGGAATAACAAGCTTACTGCAGAAATTTTAGATACTAAAAAAGGTTTTGAGGACTGGGGTGTAATTCGGTTGTATAGCACCTTCTCACTATGCATGAGGTCCCAGGTTAGCTAAGGATTCAAGTACTTGAAGCTGTTTTATGTAAGTAGCTCAGCACAATGACACATACCTGTAACATCTGCAGTCCCAACTACTCAGTAAGTTAAGGCAAGAAAATTGTAAGTTCCAGCCTGGGCAACTTCACCAGACTCCATCTCTGAATAAAATTTCATTTAAAAAAGGCTGAAAATATAGCTTCCAATATTGGGGGGTTAGGGAGAAGAAATAATAGGATACACTGGCATTATTAAACGAAGTAGAACCCTGGAGGGCTTTTGCCATCAAGTCTACCCTCACTGACTCCCAAGGGAACCTGCAGTGAGCAGTTGGATGTATTTATTACAGGGTTTTATTGGGGTAACAGGTGCTGTTGTATGCTTACAACTGTTCTCACGCATAATTGTGCAACCCACTTGTTCACATAGACCAAAGAAAATTACCTCAATATTTCTCAACCTGAGAATTATTTTAATATTATTTAATCTATTTGTACAGGGTCTCACTATATAGCTCAGACTTGTAGTGACCCTCCTGTCTCAGCTTCCTCAGCACTGGGATTACAGGCATGTGCCACCACACCTGGTTTTGGTAGCCAGCACGGTGTGCCCGGGGTTTTGGGGCCAGCACAGCATGCAGTACTAGGGATTGAACCCAGGTCCTTGCACTTGCTACACAGGTGCTTAGATTGCCAAGCTGTCTCCCCAGCCTGAGAATTCTTTTAAATGAGAAGCGAGTGTGCTGTTCTTTATGCAGTTATTTGGAGGTCTTTTTCTCTTTAGGGTGGTGGTGGTGGCGGTGTTTTGAGACAGGGTCTCACTATGTGGCCAGCCTTGAATTTGTGAGCCTTCTGAAGGGCTTATAAATGTGTGCCACCTCTCCTAGCTCAGTTATTTTCTCATGAAGAATATTTAGTTGTTTTCTGTATTTTTCTAATTGGAGAATTACTTTTGTAGCCCTACTGAGTTTATATCAACGTACTTAAGGAGAAAAATATATTGAACATAAAGCAGTATCCAACACCAGATGAGCCTGGCATGGTGGCATATGCCTATAATTCAGGCACTCAGGAGGCTGTGCCAGGACGATCATGTTCAAGGCTGGTTATAACTACATAGTAGGTTCCAGGTCAGCCTAGATAATGTAGCATCGACAACAACAAAAAGACTAGTTTCAGTGACATATAAGGATATATTTCTTACTTAACAGTCCACAAAGCCTAACTATACCATTCTCTGACCCTTAAGGCACATGAAGATCCCACGTATGACATTATTCGGGAAAATAAAAGACATGAGAAGGACATGAGGTGAGGCTATTCACTTAACATCGTAAGCTGTGTGGGGTTGGGAACCAACATTCCAATGTAGGGACTGGTTCCAGCACTGTAGACTCGAGCTGTGAGTGATGGGAGAATGAGCCATTGCTGAGCAGGTATAAAGTACGAGGCTGGGCAGCCAGCATTGGTGGTGGGGGGCACGCAGGCAGTGGTCAGGATGAGCAGGCCAGCATGGGCACAGGTGGCCATGGCCTCCTAACAGGTTTGGGTCAAGCAGTGGACTGGGCACACTTGTGCCCCTACTGTTGGACTCTTTGCTGAAATTGGCTTTCCCATGTGACTTACGTTATCTTCCTTACTCTTCAGGATCTAAGCTTTTGTTAAAGCTTAGCCCTGATTAAAAAGAGGGTAAAGGAAAGTTTAGTGTTCTGTCATTCAGATTGGTTGTATGGAGTTGCAGCTGTTGAGGGAAGTGACTCAGCTTCAGTGTGGGGAAGCTTCAGTAAGTGCATCTATTAGAAGTCACAGTTGCAAGCCAGGCATGATGGGACACACATCTCATTGCAGCCCTCTGGGAGGCTGAAGCAGGAAAATCAAAAGTTCCAGCCAAGCCTGGGCAACTGGGTGAGAAGTTTAAAATTAAATGTGTCAAAAAGTTTAAATTATAAAAGAGCTAGGATGTAGCTCAGTGCAAAGGATCGGAGTTTAATCCCCAGTATCACAGAAAAAGGGGGAGGTCACATTTGCAAGGGCTATGGGAACCTGTAGAAATACTAAGACAGACAAAGTAAGTGTTGCCAGGCATGTTGGCACATGCCTGTAATCCTAGCACTTGGGAGGCTGAGGCAGGAAGATTGCTGTGAGTTTAAGCCCAGGCTGAACTACATAACAAAACCCTGTCTCAAAAAAACTAGAAAAAAAAAAAAGTATTGTGTTTAGCAAGGTTATTATAACTCCCCCCACCCCGATACTTATTTTAAATCATTTACTTATTTGAGGAAGCTGCCTTGAGTGGAAACTCAGAGTCCTTTGCCCGATCTTGCATGCCTAGGATCCAGCAGCTGAAACAGCTCCTGGCCGATTCCACCTCAGAAGACGACGAGAGCAGCTCCGGGTCCTCAGAGTGTAGAGAGAAGCACAAGAGGAAGAAGAAGAAGGAGAAGCACAAGAAAAGGAAGAAGGAAAAGAAAAAGAAGAAGAAAAGGAAGCAGAAGTCTTCCAAGTCACATGAGAGTTCAGACTCAGAGTGAGAGAGACACCATGCTGAGCTCCTCAGAAACCCAGCATTGTGGCCTGAATGGAGGAATCATCAAGTCTGTGAGGACGCTCACCACTTCCTGAGAGGCGCTGTGCTGTTGGGGGGACTTGCTGGTCTCTCAGTGTACCCCAGGGAAAAATGGTGGTAGGCATGAAGAAGGATGGACAAGAGCTGGGTCAGGTGGAGGCCTGTTTGCCTGATTGGCAAGGACCCAAAGAACAATAGTAGGGGAGTTTATTTATACTCTTGCAAATATAGTATTGGGAGACACAAAGTTACCTAGTGACTGATGACTGAAATTGTTCAGGGAGGATGTTTTTCTTAAGACTGAGGTAGTTTGACTGTTTTAGGCACTGAGGCCTTATCCTGCCCACCCACGTATGATCAATGTCCAGCTTCAGCCCCTCCCATCACACTTCCCTGATGTCACACAGGAGAGTTCTTGAGTGCCCAGGAGCCTGGATCCCCTTTGCAGCCTCCAAGGGCAGTAGGACCAAGGACTCTGGGTGGCCATATGAGCCTGCTCTGGCTAAAAGTGGACTGGCTCAGTCCCATGGCTTCAGGTTGGCCATCTGTGTTGTTGAGGATAATAAAAGCTTGTGATTTAGTTCTTTAACATAATCATGTATTTATGAAAAGTCCAAGCACATGATCCAGATGTAAAAGCTAAGGATACCTTGATCATGAAAACTCACACTTCTTTCTCAAGAGCTACCAGTGTCAAGAGTATGTGATAAAATCTTCCAGACTCATGTCTCAGACATGTAGTGCTTTTCACACAGCTGCTGTGCCTTCTAAGACTCAGCAATGTGAAGCAACTGTCCTCACATGGACCTCACACAAAACATGCTGCTGGGTGACACCTGACCTGAGTCCAGGCTTTCCTGTTGTTACAAGCCTATCTCCCTCTTTTTCTGTGGGACAGGCTGATACAGTTGAGGCTCTAATGTATTTTTTTTCTGTATTTTAGGGAAAGGTCTACAGGGTGTTCAGGGTCTCACTACTAGATTGGACTCATAATGATTCTCTCGTTTTACAGCCTCCCAAGTGCTGAGATTACAGGTGCACACCACCTCGCCCAGTCTCAATAGCTGTCTCAATGCTCCCCAGGGGTAGGACCAACACAGCAGGCCCAGGGATTGAACCCCTGGCTCCTACACCTGCTTACAGGTGCTTCAACCCACTGAGCTAAGCTCTTATGTATGATGAGGAATGATTTACCAAATGCACACCCAGTAGCAAGTAGGCAAGCAGCTTACATTATACTGTAGCAATAAGAGAAAAAGAAGTGGGGAAATGGGTATCAGGGACCCAACAAGAAGCTCAAAGTCTTGAAACCCATGGGGAGAGCAAAGAGAGACCTCAACAAAGAGGAAGGAGGTGGCAAACAGCACTTTCTCCATGATCCTTGACTCACTGAATCAGAGGGGCAGCTCAAACCTGCAAGTACACGGTGACTACCGGAACAAATGGACTTAGTAGATGTCTACAGAGTGTTCCATCCCACAACACCAGAATACAGTTCTTCTCAGCTACACATGGGATATTCTCCAAAATAGACCACGTACTAGCTCACAGAATATACTTAAGTAAATGCAAATGAATTGAAAATATCCCACACATATCTATCAGACCATAGGGCAATAAAATTGGAAGTCAGTGGAAAAAGAAACCACAAAAACTCCATAAACATGTGGAAATAAACACCCTCCTGAACAACCAGTGGGTCAAGTGGAAGTTAAACAGCAGCTCCAATTAAATGATACTGCCAATACACCATGCCAGAACTTACGGGATGCATGAAAGCAGTACTATAAGGGAAATGTACAGCAATGAATTCCCAATCAGAAAAAAAAAAAAAACAGCCCAAATAAGCAACCTAATCATGAGCCTCAAGCTACTAAGAAGAGCAAGTCAACCCCAAAGTTTGTATGAAAAATGAAATTCTAAAGATCAGAGTAGAAATTAATACAGTGGAGACTAAGAAAATGATACAAAGAATAAAAGAGTTGTTTCTTTGAAAGATTATATACATTTGACAAATCCTTAGCCAACCCTATCTAAAAACTGGAATCCATGGCTTTAGGAATGAAAAGGGTGAAATCACAACAGATCTTACAAAAATACAGATCATCAGTATCTACTTCAAGAACCACTATTCTAATACAGAAAACTCAGAAGAAATGGACAGATTCCTAGATACATATGAATGGCCAAAGCTGAATTAAAAATGAAAATTTGAGCTAGGTGTGGTGGATTATATGCTTGTAATCCCAATACCTGGGAGACTGAGGCAAAGGAGAGTCACCGTAAATTCAAGTGAGGCCCTATCTCAAAACAAAAAACAAAAAAAAAACCCTAAACCAATATCAGTCAATGAAATTGAAGATTGGTTAAAAACCAACCAACACCCAGGGACTGGGATTTGATCCCCAGGTGTGCTGTGACAGCCCTCCCACCCAGGGTACACTGGGACAGTGATTGAGACTGAGCATGGTGGCTCACACCTGTAATCCCAGATCTTGGGAGGCTGAAAACAGAATGATCACTACAAGTCTGCTCTGTGTAGTTAGACCCTGTAGACCTGGTACTAAATACATTTTTTAAAAAACCTATCAAAGAAAAGCCCAAACTGATGGATTCACTGCTGCATTCTACAAAAAACTATTATTTGTGGATAACATGATCCTCTACGTAGAAGACTCAAAAAACTTCACGAAAAGACTTCTAGATTTAATAACCAAATTCAGTAGACACAACTCAATGCCACTACTTCTCAAACTCAATGCCACTACTTCTCAAACTCTTTAATGGAATTGAAAGGGAAGCAATACTCTCAAATTGATTCCTGGAGGCAAGCATTATGTTGATACCAAAACTAAAGAATCCAATCAAGAGAACTATAGGCCAATCTCCCTAATGAACATAGATGTAAAACTCCTCAATAAGATACTAGCAAACACAATGCAGCAAATCATTCAGATTATATGCCATCCTAGGCATAGAGAAATAGTTAAACATGCAAAACAATAAATAACACCATATTAATAGAGCCAAAGACAAAAACCATATGATCATTTCAATAGATGCACAAAAAGCACTTGACAAAGTCCAACACCCATTCATGGTAAAAGTGCTACAAAATATTAAGATAGATGGTCTTTACCTTAATCTGATAAAGGCCATCTATGACAAACCAATAGCTAACATCATATTAAATGACCAAAATCTGAAAGCTTTCCCTCTAAAACAAGAACAAGACAATGAATGTTTTCTTTTCATTCATTACAGTTCTAGAGACATTAGCCAGAACAATTAGATAAGAGAAACAAATAAAGGAAGAAGTTAAACTATTATTTGTGGATAACATGATCCTCTACATAGAAGACTCCAAAAACTTCACGAAAAGACTTCTAGATTTAATAACCAAATTCAGTAGCACAGCTAAATACAAAGTCAACACTCAAAAATCAGTAACATTCCTGTACACAAGTAACAAACTCATAGAGAAATTAGTGAAACAACTTTCACAATAGCATCACAAAAAATCAAATACTTAGGAATCAACCTAACAAAGTAAAAGACTGAAAACTACAGTACCTTGAGAAAAGGAGATTGAACAGAATATCTCATATCCCTTGTTCTTGGGTGGGAATAACCAACAGTGAAAATGGCCATACTCCCAAAATTACACAGATTTAATGCAATTCCTATGAAAATTAGAAAAGTGTATCTCACTGAATTAAAGAAAACAACCCTAAAATTTGTTTGGAACCAGAAAAAAACTAGAATAACAATGGCAATTCCTAGCAAAAAGGCAGAGGGCATCACAGTCCCTAACATGAAGCTGTACTACCATACTACTGTGATAAAAGCAGCATAGTACTGGCAAAGAAATAGACCCAAGGAATAATGGAACAGAATAAAAGATGCATATACAACTCTAGGCAGCTGAGCTACCTCATCTTTGGCAAAAGGGCCAAACAAGTTCACTGGAAGAAAGCTAGCCTCTTTAATAAATGGCTCTAGAAAAACTGGCTTTTCACATGCCAAAGACTGAAAACTAGACGCTTATCTTTACCATGCAATAAGCTAAAATAAAAATAGATCAAAGACCTAAATATTAAAACAGAAAAACTAAATCTGCTGGAAGATCGGATAGGTAGAACTACTAAAGACATCAGTATAGGTAAAGACTTTTGTTTTGTTTTTTTGACAACTCATACAGAATTTTACTTAACAAAGTAATATGAATTTCACAGTATTTGTTGTAATACATGGTATTGTCTTATAACCAGCTATTCATATTACCAGATATTGGAAGAAGAAAAAACTGGAGCAATGTATAAGAAATTAAGAAAAGAAAAAGTACAAACAATTGAAAAAAGGAGACGAAGCTAATTAGAGCATTGACTGCTTCTTTCCATTTCCATTTTTTTCTTTTTTAAAAAATTTTTATTTATTTATTTGTCCTGTCAGAGGTGAATATTCTATTGGCATCTAAATACTATAAGTGTTTGAATTCAAGTAAACATCTAATACTGTCTAGCAGTCTATAATATTAGTGGGTTATCCTCAGAAGTTGTTGACTTGAGCCTTTTACAGCTCATCGTATTAATGTGGATTTACTTTATATACCTCATTTTTATACTTTTCTACTGGATGGTTAAGACCAAGATATAGCAAGACCTATATACCCAGAATTGTAACTTTTGTATCTGATAAGGTCAGCCAAGTACTCTCAGGATTAATTCTGTAGCCCTGTACCACCTTTTGTACATCCTTTTGTCAGTGTCTGACATGAGAATGAGTCATGGCCATTGCTTGACCAATTTGCTCTCTATGAAAGCTTGAGAAAATGTTTTTTGTCTCCATGTGATTCTCCCCAGGCTCACTTTAGATCCTCGAACACATTTCTCTGTGGCTCCATAATCTTCTTGATCAGAAAATTTGGAGCACAACTGAGTTACATGTTGTTACAATACAGGTTCTCCTACGTCCTGAGTAGGTAAAGACTTTTGAACAAAACCTGGTTTGCACCACAACCAGGTTCACAAAGAATAACTTGGGTCTCATCTTATTGAAAAACTTTTGTACAGCAAAAGAAAACCACTAATGGAGTGAAGATACAACCCACAGTGTGTGAAAAAAAAAAAAAAAAAACTTTCCACCTGTTCCTTAGACAAGACTAATATCTATATAAAGAACTCAAAAACAAAAATCAGACCCCTGAAATGTAAAGACCCAACCCAAAAATGGGCATCTGAAGTGGACCCTTCTCAGATGAAGAAGAAACTGCAAATAAATATATGAAAACACATTCAATATCACTGGTCATTTGAGAGAAACAAATTAAAGTAACACTGAGATTCCATCTGCAGACAGAATGGCTATGATTAAGAAATCAAATCCCCGGTTCCACAAAAGAAAGAGAAAGAAAGAAAGAAAGAAAGAAAGAAAGAAAGAAAGAAAGAAAGAAAGAAATCAAATCAATTACAAATGTTAGTAGTGAAAAAGAAGCCCTTCCCAACCATTGGTGGGAGTGTCAACTGGTGCAACCATTGCAAAAATCAGTATGGAACAACTAAAACTAGATGTTCCATTTGGTCCGGCCATTCCCATTCTTGGTATCTTCTTGAAACCACAACATCATACCCCAGTGATGTATGCACACCCATATCTATAGCACAGTTTATAATAGGTAAATCTTGGAAACAGCCCAAATTCCAACTGATTGATGGATACAGAAAAAATTTTATATGATGAAGTAATACCTTACCATAAAGAAAGATAAACCTGAGACATATCTAGCTAAATGAATATACCTTGAGACCATACTCTTAAGTGAAATAAATCAGACATGTGTTCAAATATGACATTTTTTCTTGGTTGTAAGAAATCGTATATATAAATAAGGACAAAAATGTACAACAGATATTGGGAAATTGGGAGACAACGTTCAAATGAGAAG